GCTTGATAAAAAAAGTATCTCATATAAAAAGGTAAAAATTGTTTTACTGCGAAGGGCTGTAGTATGTAATTATAGGTTACTGCTGAACGAATACGCGAAACCTAGGGGCGCGGTGTCAGCCGCAAAGGTTCATGACGCAGTGTTTACAGTTGACTAGATTTTCCGCTTTATATAGTGTGCTTGCACTGAAGGTGAAATGCGGTAAAATTTGCGCGTGAACAAGTAGCCGCGCCAATAATGCCATCCTTTTGCGCGCGCAATTGGCCGGCGTCAAGACGCAGCTATTTGTCCACGCGCAAATTTTACCGCATATCACCTTCAGTGCAAGCACACTATATAAAGCGGAAAATCTACTCGACTGTACATTGGTGAAGATAAGCGGGCTCGAACGCGGGCGCTGCGTTCGAGCCCGCTCAACTAATACTGCTTCTGTGCCTTCGTGCGGTGATAGACATTACCTACGTGGGAAGCCACATAGTTACAAAAGTGGGAAGAGCCTATAACTGGTTTGGCCGGAGCCTACCAATTTTCATTTTCTCCGGACTAACTACCGAAAAAAATACCGCAGCTGTTTATATGAGCTGATGTAGTGCTCTATATGTGACCAAACTTGAGTCAAAAGAATTTCTTGAGGTGGGTTGAGATTTTTGATGTAGCGAATAGCTCTAGAAATCGCCTTATAATAGGTGGATAAAGTTTATGAATATACGCGGGCCAGCTCGTAGAGCCTGCTTCGCCCTATCAAGAGTTCCCAAAGCTCTACCAGAAAGCAAAAATAAAGAGACTAATACAAGTTATAGCATGAACGTGTCCGTTTTACGACTCTCAGACATCAACTCGGTAGCTTTTGTATTAGGTTGCTACAAAAATAAAGTCCGTTCTACAAAACTGCACTTTGACTAGCTATAATTTTGTCCATTCTTTATGATTTTGAAGGTGGTCAAGACCATTAGAAGCAGTAAACCTTTCTCAAATAAGCGAGCACCTGTGCATACTGATATCGCAAGAGGGGAGAAAATATGCATAGAAAAATCAAGCTTTTCTTCTGAAAACCTCTAATCAACTCGTTTCGTAGAGACAAGACAGTAGTATAAACGGTTTAGAAAGAACTTCAGTGAAGGAAGTCTGCGGAAAGAAAAGATAGAAGTCCAAATTGTTTATTTTTTCGAGCTTATTTGTGGTATTCCTGGAAGTCCCAAAGTCTGAAAATTTGCAATTTTTCATGCACTAAACAAGTGTAGTTGAAACGACCGAAAAATTTTGTCGAACGAATGAATTTCGAATAATTTGCTTTTGAAAAATATTTGAACGAATGAATAATATTCGATCTATGATTTTCAGATTATTCGAATTCGAATATTCGAATAATGCTACATTTCAAAATTCGAATGAACTAATATTCGAATAAATGGGGCTGGTCAAACATTCGACTATTCGAATAATCGAATAATTACATATGGTCGAATAGTCGACTATTCGAATAATCGAATAATTACATACGGTCGAATATTCGACTATTCGAATAATTCGAATAATCTAGCACTTCAAACAATGCTGGTTTTTTTGTTGAGGTTTTCTGCAAAAAAGATTAGTCGTCTATTTGATCCATATGTGTAGCAAGTGGTGGGGTGACTGGGTTATTTCTATTGGTCAGGGTTCCCCTTAGGAAACAGAAGAATTCACTTAAACTTGTACTTCATAGTGTCATGGACTTTTAAGATGGCTACTAAGCCTTACTTAGTATCGCTTCGAGTCCGCACTTTTCTTCCTCACATCCCCAGAGCTAAAGATTCAACATAGAAAAACTTTTAAATTAGGTAGTTGTTTGTAATTTATATTCGTGATGGTCAGCATTGCGTGAATTTTAAGACTAGCACTGGGGAAGGAGGAAGGAAGGCCTACAGTAGCAGAATAAGTCCTCTGCGGTTGTCCCGAAAATTTTGTGCGTTTTTTCAAACCACTATAAAACCACGCACAATAAAGACTTGGAGGAGTTTTAACATGCATTCGATGCAGCTTTTAATTCTCTTTCTCAAGAATACATTTCGAAGCAAAATCTTGCATGCTTTTTTTGATAATTGCCAAAATTCTCCATCTGTCAATTTAATCTGCTCAAAGTTAGCCTACTTTTTTAAATTTCATTTCAAAGTTTCGGAAACGATTAAGTATGGATCAAATAAAGCAATTCTCGTATTACAAAGTAGTATTTTTAGATTCTCTTAATTCGCTGTTTTTAGCTCCAAAAACCATTTTATCGGAAGTTTCGATTTTTGGCAAAATCATGAAACACGCAACTGCAGCAACACGAAAGAATTGAAATACGATTCTTATCAAACATTATTGCTACATAACCAAGTTTGATCTTCTTTGAAGAAGCATCATTTCGGAAATTCCGGTACTTTTACGTAAACGGTAAACGTAATCAAAAACCGCAGTTTTTATCAAACAAATAATTATAACGAGCTTAGTAAACATGGCCCATGTAATCTAAAATGGGCACAATGTAGCCAAAGGTTTGCCCTACCCTAAATTTGCCTAACAATTATCAGCGCTCTTCAAAAACATCAGAATAAAAATTTTTGAAATTCAGTAAAGATTTGGCGTTACGTCTGAGCTGGTCAGAAAGCCGTGGCGATAACATTGCGAAACAGAGTAGATCAGAGAGCAAATACAGCTCTAAGAAAGAAGATAAAAATCTGTATCAAATCGTCCTAAGAGTTGTCCATAGATTGGTGTTCTGTGAGTTACTGTGAGCGATGAAAAAAAAACGGACAAAACTTTTGGGACTCTAACACTTCTGTGCTCATCTAAATCCAGAAGAAAGAAACTTATGAAAATATCTGTATCCATATCTTTTACTCAGGCTCATTATAATTATTGTTCAACATACACGCCTACTCAAAGCATTATTCCTCTACGAACGCTCAGCTCCTCACGACCGCCTTGCTCTGGCCTTGCACTGTAACATACAGTCTGCCCCAATCGAGATCAGGCCGAATCGCCGACTGATTTACGCGCTCGCGACGCTGGGGTCTGCGCTGCACACGCGCACCTTCGCAGAGAGCGAAGAGATTGAGGAGAGAGCAGACTGGCTAACCGTAGACGTGACGCAATACCCTCGCACACGGGTTCCCGCCATGCCAATTTTGGCCTGGTTGGGATTGGGGCAGACTGTATCTTTCAGGTATTTTGACATGCGAGCGGTGATTAGGCTGGCAAAGCAAGTAAAGATGAAATCGAGATGAAGGAACAAATGATGCCTATACCTGCCGCCTTAAAGGACTGCTGTTCCTTCACATGCTTATGCAAGCTGTTTGAGGACCAGTGGTCCGCTAAAGGGCGCCTAATAACGGCATTGCTTCTTAACCCAGTTTAGAGCTTGGAGGTATCTCCGCATGATGTCGCATCTCAACTTCTCAGATGCGATTTCCAGAAGTTCACCACTTCAAATGAATTATGCGTAAGATTGTCATTACCAAGCTCTGGCATGCTCGCGATTGCCTTGCAAAGGGAACCTCGCTAGCCATTTGTCATATGATAATTCATTAGTGATTGACGATCGGGGCCATACTTGTACTCAGTGTAGAACAGTTGAAACTTTCTTTTGACATCATATGTTCCAATGAATGTTCTTAAATATTCGAATATTCGAATGACTGTCTTTCAAGTTGGCTCGAATATTCCAATATTCGAATAACTGTCTTTTGAAATTCCTCGAATGAACGAACATTCGAATAAGTCATTTTTTCAAATCATCGAACGAACGAATTATTCGAATACAGGCCTTTTTCATTTATTCGACTATTCGAATATTCGAATAGTCGAATATTTCGAATAAATTATTCGCTAAACAGCATAATTTTTCTTTTGCAATAAGTCTAAATGAGATGCCCTAATCTCATGCTCACAAACAAGCGCGGTCGATCGACTCATTCAGAAAAAAGTTATGACCCATAAATTGCCAAGTGAGTATCCATTTTGGGGCTTCGATTCTCAGTCCAGAATCTGGACTGAAATCGAAATTTTGTTGCGTTTAATATCTTGGCCACATTTTAAGAGCAGATGAACAAATTCTTTGAAAACATGGTTACTATATGGGATAGATATCATTTACCAATTGCATGCTTAATTACATCTTTCGCAATTATCTGGACTCCAGATAACGAAAGATGTAATTAAGCATGCAATAGGTAAATGATATCTATCCCATATAGTAACCATGTTTTCAAAGAATTTGTTCATCTGCTCTTAAAATGTGGCCAAGAAATTAAACGCAACAAAATTTCGATTTTGAGTGCAGATGTGTATTGATGAAATAATTGAAGAAAATAGCCTAATTGCGCCACGGCTAATAGATACATGAAGGAAGCTTTCAAATAATATGCAAAATCCATACCGAAAAGAATATTTTATGAAAATAAATGTCCGGAAGAGGGCTTAGAAAAACGAACAATATTCTTGCAGCAAACCAATAATATACGCAAAGACATCGTTGGACCTCAACATAAGCAAGTAAGCCACATCTGCCCGGTATAAGTAGATGATTCGAAAACACAAGTGCAGGTCGTTTCATGCATGCAGTGGATTAGCTTGCCATTCGGTACCAAAAGTAGATCGCGAGCGTAGAATGGCAAATAGAGGTTCCTAGATTTAGAACTGATCGGCTTTGTTTAACCCACTCTAATGGCAACTGATACGATTTCTGTGTAGCCCAAAACAACTCTAAACTAAGCCCAGACGTATCCTCTCGGAGTGGTTCAATAAGCGTGCTCGCCTACATCTGCATTTGCTCTCAATTACAACAGTGTGGATATATCGTTATAGGTCATCATTATTTCAGTCTCGCATGCTGGTTAGTGGAATAAGTGAAGATATGGCAGTTGACAGGGAAACAAGTAAAGAAAATTCAAGTAGCTCTTCGCTCTAGTGCGACATGACGCTTCTAATCGGACATGGAAGTTCTTTGACGATCGTTATAGATGCGGGTCCCGTTACAAGACTAGAACAATTCAATATTTATTTCTCATCGATTAAAATTTGAAAAGCTAATCTATAATGTTCTACATCACTAAGATCACTACAAACCGGTACAAACCATCACATGAGAGGAAATTCAACAGCAAACCTGAGATACAAGCAATTGAGCCTATAAAATAATGTGCAGCATAGCAGAATGAATAATGCAGTGAAAGGTTAGTGAATTTTGTGACGTATGAGTCCCTTCATCATATCAAACGTATTGCCATTGTCACCAACGGAGAAAATCTGAAATTTGATGGGAAAAGCTGAAGAGCTCCTATTACCCCACAGATAGTTCTAATCATTAAACGACAACTGAGTTTACCTTGCTAGGATTGCTTTTGCTTCGGACTTGCAGATAGCCATGCTTGTCCAAACCTCTGATGATGACCTTTTCTGACAGCTCTTCTATCAAAACTTCTTCTCGGCTAAATTACCTTTACATAACTTTAGCTGAAGAAAAAAAAGCACTCATGAGCCGTAGAAAAAAGCCAATTAATTTCGGAACAAAGAAATGGAAAAGAAAAATCTGGAGTAAATACAGCCGCCATAGCCCCCTCCCATCCCAAACAATGAAAATAATTGTTGCAAAACAGAAACTCTTCTCATTCTCTGTTATTTTTTAGCAGACACAAAGCTCAAAAATCTTCTCCCACTAGATGAGTCCACATTTCTATCTAGTTTCAGGTACAAGGGATCACAAAAAGATTGCTGCTTTAGAGATACTTGTGAGATAAAACTCGAGATAAATATGATTTCTCAGCAGACGCGAATAAGTTATTACTTTCGTGCTTTACAGTTCCAACGAGAAAAAATCTGTTATAGTTCAGATCCGTAAATGAACAAGATTAAAATGACAATGTGGTCAAGCCAGTCATTTTTGAGGTGGACTGCGCGGTTAAAAAATGTGCAAGTGACTTGTTTGTACTTGTATTAGGTTGTCCGAAATTAATGTCCGTTTTGAATTTCAACCGCAATAAGTCATATACTCCTCATTTCTGAATAGGTTGCAAGGTACCATTCGATAGAGCAAAGCAAGCTCTACAAGATGGTGATCTTATTTTTGCAACAACATCCATCTCGAGTTTCGAGCCAAAAACTAAAAAGACTAAGCGGACCGAAAAATCGAAAGAAATCGTAAATCAGTTCATAAAAACCCTACAAAAATTCTAGCTTGCTCACGTAAACACTATCTACAAAAGACATCTATATATGCCTTTGCCGCATTTTTTCCTTTGTTAGAAATCAAGACAACGGAAATTTTCGTGCATTCGTTAAAGTGATGCTGTGCCGTCCCCACATGAGTAGTTGTATAGTACAAACCTGTAGAAGTGCAAACGTAAATTTTCAGCTCTCTACAAGCTTTAGTTCTCGAGAAATTCAAATCTTGGCTTGGACCACCTGATTAGGGAAAGCCGTATTTGATATTTCTCGAGAATCAAAGCTTATAGAAAGCCGAAAATTTACGTTTGTACTTCTACAGGTTTGTAGTATACAACTACTCATGTGGGGACGGCACAGCATCACTTTAACGAATGCACGAAAATTTCCGTTATCTTGATTTCTAACAAAGGAAAAAATGCGGCAACGGCGTATATAGATGTCCTTCGTAGATAGTACTTACGTGAGCAAGTTAGACTTTTGGTAGGGTTTTTATGAACTGAGTTACAATTTCTTTCGATTTTTCGGCCCGCTGAGTCTTTTTAGTTTTTGGCTCGAAACTTGAGATGGATGAGAGCTGTTGCAAAAATAAGATCACCATCTTGTAGAACTTGCTTTGCTCTATCGAATGGTACCTTGCAACCTATTCAGAAATGAGAAGTGTTTGACTTATTGCGGTTGAAGTTCAGAACGGACATTAATTTCCGGACAACCTAATAGATGACTAAAATAATTTCCAAAAATCTTAAAAATTCATTCAAGCCTAGTAGAAATTTTTCTTTATCCCTTTATCTAGATCGAAGTCATGGCCCGGAAAAATTTGCGAAGTCTCAGGAAATTCTTCGAAATACGTGACTGACGCCATGCATCTCTATTTAAAACCGCCATTGAAAGTCATACTTGAGAATCTCAAAAGGTAGTGTGATACTAATGATGCTCAGCTGCAAATGACCTTGCGACTTCTTAATTAGACGTTCAAACTCTAGAAAGATGGCTTTTGATAATTCGACAACTGATGCTTTTGTTAAGCATTACTGAGCGAAGGAGTGATAAATCGCTGCTTCAAGTAAATAAAACAGAAAATATAGAAAAGAAACCTAGCTAAGAATCACATAACAGAGATATGTTGTAAGCCAAGATAAAAAAGAAAGATCTTCATGTGAGATGAAACAACCCATACTTGAGATGAGTAGTTAGGTAAAACAAAAAATGGAAGGTATTGCAACATAGAAAAGTTCTAACCTGTGCAACCAAAATTCGTAATAAGCTTTCAGCACTGGAGTCGGGCCCTTGATTTCGTAAGTATTCATCCAGACTGTAAAGAATTATGTATATTCTCGTTGAATGAGGCCTATATCTGTCTGATCCTCAACGTACATTCGAATCTATTCAATGTTTCCGCAATCACCTCTTCGATAGTAAACTTAATGTCACTGCCTTCAGGGACCATGTCGTTAAGACAGACCGTTGGTTGGGAGTTTGTCACATTGATGCCAGCACCTAAGAATAATACAATTGATGAGCTAATTCTAGAGAGAGGATGATACCGATTGATATGAGCAGTCCATTGTCACGGCATTTTGCAGATGCTAGAAGGCCACCAACTTTATGGGATCGATTGAAGTAGAAGTCATTTGGCCATTTTATTCGGAGAGGAAAGTCCTGGGATGAGAACAGTGTTTAACAGAAAGATGGAACGATGTTATCGCGTATAAGAAAACCGACATCAAAACCGCTCAATCGGCGGACACCATCAACGAGTGCAATGGCGAATATGTGCTGGAGAAAAGATGGGTTGTGGGCTAGTGCAGAAGACTGCGGTAAACATGTAGAAATGTTGAACATCGCAGCACCCAAAGGTGATACAAACTCATTTCCACCACGACCTGAAACTCAAATAATGCTAAAACTGCAAAGCATAAGCACAAGCGCTGAATTTTTGCAAGAATTCGAAAGCGTATGATTGTGTAACCTAGATTAACAAAATACTTGCCTTGTCCTTGAGTTTGTTGGCCAGCAACAACTACTGCTCCATTACAAGTGGGTATCGCGTCGCAAAGACTGAGAAGGAATGCTAAGAAGATTTTGGCAAAAAAGAGAACAACATACCTAGCACAAACTTTGATTGTGGTAGTTACTACAGGTATATGCATGATGACTTGTCCCAGCTCCCGCGTTGTCAACCGGGAGAAATACAGAGGCAAATTGAAATGGGGATAGTTGGCACTGCTTTCTCTAAAAAATAAAGATACTACGTGAAGACCATATAGATGTTGTGATGATTTGATCAACTACTATTCCAAGCTATTCCCTTCAACGCTGCAAGGTTCCACTAGATAACACAATTGGAGACAGATCTAGTGGAGTTGCATAATAGAAAAAACCAAGAAATTTACATGACATGTACATCTAACAGCATTAAATTAAGCGTTCAAAGAAACAGTGGATAATCTAGCAATATAAGCTGCTAAATCAAAAACTAAAGTTTGAAAAACACTTGTTATGACTTTGCAAGCTAGGAGAAACTATCATCGACGTAACAGTATGTGGAATATGTGTAACGATCTCATGTAAATGATGCGCAAAAGACGAGCATAAAGAAACAATAAAGACTCAAAAATGACAGCAGAGAAGAGAGAAGGTTACTCACCGAGTCGATACTTCTACGGGAAGCAAGTTTTCATCAACATCCGGCAAACCTTGTTCTGCTATCTTTTCCGTTTTTCTCAAAAAAAGCTTAGGTGCTTGGCCAATTTCCTCTCCATATCGCACTCCCTATTAAAAATTTTCTTAAGCACATGAGCTCTCTCTCTCCAGACAATTGATAGTTCACCATCAAATCCTCCAAGATTTTATCTTCTTTGGCAACCATTACTGCTCCGGTGAGGGCGGGTGGTTTTGTCTCAGTTATGGTGACACCAACACGAGCAAGAGAGTCTTGGAGTATACGACTTCCTGAAGCACTCGTTGGACCAAACATAAACAGGGACGCAGTCTTACCTGTAGCTAATAACTGCTCAGATGTTGCATCGGAAAAGATTGCTGACGCTAGATGTGCGCTATTTTCCATGTAAAGGAAGAGCGGGAGATCTGGAATGATTTCAGTCGCAACGGTCTTTTCAAATGTATTATATACTATTTTAAAAGCATTGGACGCTAATTCCAAATGCTCATTATCTGCTGCATCTGCAGGTCTAGTCATGAGAATTTTCCGCAGCGAAAAATGAGAGTGGGATTTAGGTGAGATCAATCGCTACGGTCTGTCCACGCATAAAACGGTACTGAGTATGAAGATATCAAACACAAAAGTTCATTGCACAGAGCGGGACCTCTCAACATCGGTCATTTAAGCAATTTCGGTTGATTTTGTTCAGTTGAATCTACTTAGAATGGTCATAATTCGGCGTCCAGAGGCGCATGGCAGCTATCAGACAGTTTGAAATTATCGTCCAGCGCTCCATAAAAGCAACTTCATTCCAAAAGACCACTTCGGACATATAAATTTCTCTTGCAAGTTCAATGGATGGCAAGGTATGACTTACGTGACAACAGGTCTATCAAAGTACAAAAGTATAACTCTGAAATTAAGAAAGCCTACCTTTGACTTTCGTCAGTACTACGGAATAGCTCATACCGGCAGCGAGATCTTTTGAGTGGAAGGTTGCATTGATCTTCAAAAATTAAAATCAGCTTCAAAAGACAGACACACTGGTAAACTTACAGTTCCTTGCTTAGCAAGAGTTTTCAACGATTTCTTGAGGAAGTGTTCAAAATCTTTCCCCATTGATATAGAATCTCGAGATCCAAAAGCCATTCGAATCATGTCAGCCTGGAAGAAAACAGACTACCGAAACCGCCAACCAGGTTTTGCTCAGAAAAATACCTGTTTTTTCGAAGACTCACAACTAGATAGACTTGCAAGTAGACGATTTTGGCAAACAAATATGATTTTTCCAGACTGTAAAGAATCAAAAGTAGAGACAGATAAAGATCAAGCTTATGCCAAATTTGCCTGATTGAAATAGTGCTGCATGTTCGTCCAACATCGATCGTCTAGTTCCGATGTATCAGCAATTATAAGGCATGCCTTAACAAAAAAAAAATCAGAAAAAGGAAGTGAGTAAAGAAAACTGACCGTTGTTGGTTCGACCCAGGGCTGTTTCTTCATTGCATCGGGACTGAGATGAAAGACTGTGTAACGGTCCGCGGGAACTAGACGATGCAGGCTTTCTCGTATCCTTTTGTACAGTTCATTTTGTTGCCCAGTGTATACCAATATCTAAAATTTTTAATAAAGAGACTACATAATTTCAAAAGGTACTTTATATGTGAAAACTGGAGACAGAATCACGAAATACTTATATTCGAAACGAATGCGTAATAATACGCAAATTTTGTAAAATGCGTCATTCAAAACTTACAGATGGCGGCTTATACATTGCTCTCAATGAGCGATCAGTGGTTGTATGAAATTTCCTTGTCGGAGTATATGGACGATGGAACGCTTCACCACAAAACAGCGGCCTGTCTGCAAGAATCAGTAATTAGAATTGAAATTCTCCAGCTGCCGTAGAGTACAAAGAAAAGTACAGGTCAATGAACATTGTGAAAATAACATCAAGAACATGTGCCCTTTGATTGCGCAAAACGATATCAACAGGAAACTGTATAGGGAAGGGCATTCCAGATGTTGCAGTTCATTTAGTCAGTGGAATCTCAAGAAATCTTGAGAATCTGGTATGGGATGTTCCACAAGGGGTCGGGTTCTCTAAGGGACCCGTTATACTTCGCCGAAAAAAGCCCAAAAGCGCCTAAAAAAGCCCAAAAGCGCCCGAAAAAGCCCAAAAAAGCCGAAAAAAGCCCGAAAGCGCCAGAAAGAGCCGGAATGTAGAAACGAACTTTTGGTAGATTTCTGACATTATTTTATCATGCGGACGACACGAAATGACAAAAAGGCTCGATTGCGAAGTCAACACACATGCCTTAGCGCCAAAAAGTGCGAGAAGTGCTCCGGCTCTTTCTGGCGCTTTTGGGCTTTTTTGGGCTTTTTTGGGCTTTTTTCGGCGAAGTATGACGGGTCCCTCCCTAACTTGATGAAGAATAACAACTAATTAAAACAATAAAAACACGTTCTACGAAATCTTTGAGGAGTACATTGTAAACCTCAAGGATAAAGCGGTCAAAAAAAAAACTTCACAGGAAAAAGATTGCATAATTAGGCATGCAGACAACGCAGGCGGTTCACTGCGCGCCCTCGTTCGCTGAGCGCAAAGTTGGAATGCCAGTATAAACGCCCACAAGCGACTCAAAGGCTTCCCACTACACTAACTTTGTACCGGTTAGTTTCTAACATAAAATGCGAATTTAGCAAGGAATAACTTACTTCTTAGCCGTAAGCAGAATGCGCCAGTGGAAGAAGGAACAAAGCGACCATGAGGTACCGATGTTGAATGGTTGATTAACAGAGTATCAAGAGAGACAAAGGGCTGTGATGATCCAAAGGATCGGATCGAAGATTCTCGGAAGATCGTCGAAACAAGAGAAACACATCGATCCACGATGCATCGTGTCGCTGACGATCCCGTCATACAACAGCGACAGCAGCTGGCGACAAACACCGCTCCGTACGGCCGCTCAAGCGCCGCTATGCCATCTGTCCCCCGTCACGAAATATGAACATTCCGAATGCAGCGATGAAATTGATTTGGACAGATCTATGTTCCATGTTTCGAGGACGAAAACGTGCAGAAATCTGCGCAGATGACTCTGATATCTTTCTAAGGCGAGTGATTCTGGGCAGCGCTGTCCTGTTTGCAAAGACGCGTGGAAAAAGTGCGTCTGCGTTCGTGGAGCCATAAAACAGCCACCGTATCTTATCTGTTGAAAATGCAGACATTTATTACAATGGATACATTCACTCTGCAAAAACTTTATTGTATCCATTAAATTTTGATCCACTGTTCAGCACAACTTCTTAAACTGCTACGTCGTGGTGAAGCATTATGAAATCTCCCACTTATTCTCCCATTTATTCACTTCCATTCCAAACGGAGGAATCAGATGGAAGCAAGAAAACATGTACCTACGACTAGTGTATCGTTGATTCGTTGCTCGCACATGCTCAAACGCACTTTCAACTACATATATGGCCTGAGCGAAGTGCACTGGGGGGTTGTCTCCATGTTCAGTGACAGACCTCGGGCATGATTTGAGCGATTTCATCGCCTCGCGATGATAGGATGACGAAGGTCGGTTCAGCCACAATATGGAGCTGATCGCCCAAAAGCGGAGGGGGGGGGGGGTGAGCGGAAGGGCGGAACGCGCACATAGTGGACCTGGGGCTAGTGATGCGCTACGTCATTTTATGTCTGAATCTGAGCTTGATCCCTTCGCTCATATTGCGCGAACGGTGGAGGGAGAAGGAGGTCCGACGATGATGAGAGAAAAACATTAACTCGAAGTGGACGTGTTGCCGGATGCCAGCAGTGAGCCGGAACAAAGGTCGGCCACCAACTTTTTCTGGATTGCGTCATCGCTCCACATGTTACGATACACACGATACGCAGATCTTCGCACGTTCTGTCGTCTGTCGCGCGTTCTTGGCCAAGACTGCTGACGTGTGAGATATTTTACGAGAAAAATTCGCTCATAACATGGACTGGGCGTGCGGACTCCTGACTTGATGGAAGCGAAGAGAAGGTAGCGGTGGCGGACCGACAGGAAGGGGGGGGGGGGGAGGGCGGAAGGTCTTCGATTCACTAATCACTCATAAAAATGTTTGACTGTTTGAATATTTAAGACTTGCTTATACCTGCATCGAAAATCTTCGCGATTTTATTCTAAAAATCGTGCTTATAGAAACATTTTCTGGGGGCTGTCAAGCCCCCTTCCTCTGAAAATTTAGGGGTTATGAGCCCGCACAAATTTTGTGAGGCGAAAAAACTCTCTGGAGTGTGGTCTAATGCCTTGCACCTTCATTCAAAGAATTTCTTTTTGTAATGCTGGAACCGCCACTGATTGGTAGAGATTGCGCCCCAGCGAGAAAAGATATAATTGATTCGTTGACCGCACGGACTGGACATCGCTGCGGAGTACGCGCCGCGAGGTAAAACGCTTGCCCCAGTACAAATTCGCTTGTACAAGTCGTGCTCTTGCGACAACTCAGCCGCGCCGCGCGGAACCGCAGCGTTTGATCAGTTTTGATCAGTCCGTGCGGTCAACGGATCGACGATATGTTACACGGTCAGATTATGACCTAACCACAGCCTGCTCCAACCACAAAGATTTCGAAGAATTAAATGCAAAGTGGCGTGCACACTTTGCGGAATGTTCGCGCCATATCACCGAGCGAGCAGCGCTTGTATTTTATCAGCTGAAATGAAGAGGAAATGAAGATGATAGGATGCTGTTGCAATACTGCACGGATCTGCGAAAACGCATTAAATGAAATTGAGTGGTAAGCCAATTCTAATGTGCCCAGTTGTTCTAATTTGTGTTATCGTCCATTGAGGCTCAGGAGTATCTCATGTTGGCCACACCCCTCTTTTCGCAAACTCCGTCCATTCCACTGCCTTCTTCAAGATCCTTTTCGCGCTAAAAGCGCACAGAAGAGATAATAAATGAACGGAAAACTTCAGGTAGCCTTAACTTCCCCGCCCACGTCAGGCAGGCCCACCCCTTCAGCGGCAGACTCCGCCCACTTTTCAAAACTACCGAAATTTGCGCACATTCTTGATTTCCAGGCAATTTCCAGCATTTTTTGCTGAGTGGACAGGGCTTGAACAAGGGGGCTGCTTCGCCCATTCATATATTCAACTTCTAAGCATAGATGCTTGCATATATAATCTTTGATTCAACTGGTTTAGCTTCGGGAAGGCGGGGCTTTGTGACGTAATTAAGGCCGTTCGCGCACGCGACGCACCTGCATCTCTCTCGCCCGAGTGCTCCTGATCACTAGGTAGCCTTAATTAGGTCCCGAAGCTCCACCTTCCCGAAGCCAAGCCCGTTGAATCAAATGGTACATGCAGCCACGCGTAAGTGCACGGAAACATCTCGTCTACAGGAAGAGAAGTGAAAGGTTTGTCGTCAACGTGTGAAGCTGCCAACTACTTTTAACTAAAGAAAGTTATTGACATTTGCAAGGGTATGCGCATTCTTAGCTGCCCGATTTGACGCTCTAACGTCGTCTGGAAGATTAACAAGCTATACAACGATGACAGGGCCTCATTTGTGTACGCGATTTCAAACTGTTGGAACATTAATTTTAGGTCAAGGCGATAACCAAATTGCTTACAAGGTTTGAACAAACTTGAGTCACCAAAGGAATGATCAAAGGGAAGTACGAAAAATCATGAAAAGATTACGTAAATAGGAGTGTAAGTATTCTTCAGGTGACTCCCGCGCCTTTTCGAAGATATTATATGGCAAGAACTGGCGATGGAGTGTTAAGACATCAAGCAAAAGTTTGCAAAGCTGGAACAGACAGCTGGTGGTTGAGCTTGATTTGCTATTGATGATAGAGATATAGCAACCATCTACCATGTAACACGTGACTGGAAGAACCTGAGACGATTGATTACAGATGATATAACTTAGCAACTATACCAACACGTGACTGAAATCCGAGACACAGCGAATGGGCCAAGATCAATGTTTTCGCTGAACACAAACATCCAAGTAACGGACAGGCTATAAGCTTCATCCAGCTCCAGGTGGAAAATTGGAGGAGCTAAATTCAATTTCCGTCCAGCCTCGATCGCACTGAGTGGGCTTCCTCCATGTTGAAATGCTTTCGGCAGCAAAGCTATATCTACGGGTACTACACCTTCTCAGGACAAATGCATTTTGGATGAAATTAGGCCTAAGCTGTTCGATTTACTAAGTATTTTTGAGTTTGTAAGGTCAAAGAAAAACGGTGGCCGTTCAAATTCGAGGAAAAGTCTCTTAGAAAAAAGTCCACAAAGCACTGCTTTCATTTTTTTACATGTTGATTAATTATTGAGTACTATGCCGATGCGGTCTTTAGTGTTGTTCATGTAAGAAATACATATAAGTTAAGCTACTTGTTGAATGAAGTGCGATGAATTTCCTGTATTCAAAGAATATATTTGTAGGAAACGTGCACAAGAAAAAAAAATAGATGAATAGGGTATTGTTCAGTCTCGATACTGTCCCTTGATAAGAAAAGTGTACGCATTTATTTATAAGACATATTATTGAAACTATCTTTACTTGCTAAAATTTGGAAGAAAAACCAGCATGTTTTGAATGAGCGAACGTTTTCGTTAAGTAGTGTGGTAGAAGTACCAAACCTACTCTTAAATGCGAACCTGTTTACATCAGACTAAAATTTTAGAAGATCACGTGTTGGGTCAGAGTTATTCTTAGCCAACCTATAAACATAACATGTGGCGCGTGAGCAATTACTGGTGAAGAGCATAAAAGCGGTAATTGGTGAGCTAAGCAATAATTTGATTGGATTACAATACTTGTAGCCTTACTTTCAAAAAAAGATAAAAAGCCTCTGAACAACGACAACTATAAATTTGTCCGCTGCGTCGGATGGGACACATTGAGAAGAATATGTTTTTGCCAACAAAGGAAAACAAATGTCTTCTGGTGTTTTGCACTAGAACCATCAATTTTTCTGACAACCAATGTGCAAAATCAGAAAAACTCTGCACAGCAGAAAAAAGCGCAATTGCATGGCTTCGAAAAAGGATCAAAGCTTGAGATTGTTTACTCATTCTTTACACGCATTATGTGGGTACTGATTGGAAGGTCTCAACTAATTCACTGCCCAAAAGGCAGCTAAATGTTTCATTTATGGTTAAACATACACTCTGCATCTTGTCCAGCACTGGAATCGAGGATGCCGATTGGTCCGCCAGAAATGCATAGTACGGTATTGGGCAAAAGATCACAGCTGTAGTTTGCGGACTTACATTATTGACTATTGAGCTATCTTTTTTTTAATACCTCAAAAAAACACCGGGGAAAAATTGGAATGAGTTTTTTTCTCATGATCAAAACTGAGGATAAGTTCAACTATAATAAAATGATTACGAGATTTGAATGAAGAAAATCAAATAGTGTTAAAATAGGGTCAGTCCAGACATTACAAATCACAAGTCTTCATTCGCTATGGAATCTATTTAAGAAAGAAAGCGCATGTTTGAGCACGGCAAGGCTTAGTTGCGAAAGATTGCTGCTCCAGCCAATGGAAAGCTTGCAGGCAAGAAAGCTGAAGAATGTACTCTTTTTAATGAGAAGAAGTCATTTGATGGATAGTGGAGATTGGAAGACTGTGGAACGTGACTTTGTTCAACTCATAGTGAAGAACTCCCAAATAAGAGAAAGAGTTCTTCCATAATGAACTTCCGGGACAATAAATCGTCCCCGAGTCGTTCCTTTCCGTGAACCAATTTTCAGCAAATTGGAGAGAGAAGGCCTGAGGATTGAATGAGGGAATGCTATTTCAGCGTGAAAGGGAGCTCTTCCCTTCACAACTTATGCTAAAGATACTATCAAATTATGTTTAAATCATGGTTTCAAATGCAAAGAATGCAGACGTTGCCATCCGTGGGTGTCAGTTAATTGGGTACCTCTTCTTTTTATGTGGAGGCTAGTTGAAGAGTCTTAAGCAATCCGTTGGCCAAGCAACAACTCACTGATTTATTGGTGCGCAAAGGCAGTCGAACCTTTGATTCAATTGGCTTGACGGCTGGAAGGCTGGGCTTTGTGACCTAATTAAGGCCGCTCCGCGACGCAGTGTGCGTCTCTCCCGCGCGCGTGCTTTCTGATCATACCTAGCCTTAATTAGGTCAATCTCCGCCTTCCAGCCGCCAAGCCAGTTGATCAAAGGGTAACTTCCGAGCGGAACAAACAGCGTCTTTGGATATGTTAATGGAGAGTTGCAAAATCGGTACGATCTGGGCGAGGCTTACCTGAAACCTTTGCAACGAGTAAAACGTATGCTGCCGTTTATACCCATTAATCAAATTTATAATTTTGTATCACATATAAGTACAATCAACTAAGCAAATTCAAAAATGTAAAAAAATTCGTCTACAATATGGTAAATAGCATGACTTGAATCCTTGGCCTTGCCTTTGATCTATCTGACCTACCCCACAGGTATAGGCGACCTTACGGTGTTATCACTCTTTTCCTTCTCCAGCCCACTCCTCCCTACTGATGAGCCTCGGGAGTGGTCTAATACGGCTACCAGTCTAGGGGTAGAGGCGAAACAGGATCATTAGTGTATAAATAAAAAAAATAAATTATATGAAAATAGTGACTTCAAATTATATGGAACACATGACATAAATTTTATTGGAAAAGATGTCTTGCACAGCGATCATGTGCTTTTGGCGGGGCTCGGCATGAGCTGGCACCAGGATTTTCAAGAAGTCCCCTTTAACCGTAAACGTTAAACGTAAAAAACCCTCAAAGAACGAAAAGTCGACTAAAAAAAACGTCGCATTTTCGGCCACAAAAACAATATCCTCTTTGCTTTTTGTCCCAAAACGATATCTAGCTTGCCGCGTGCCAGCTGGTGCCAGACCCTGGCTTTTAGGGATCGCAATCATGCGAGTGTAGTAAAGATTCGATACAAAGTAAGAAGTAGTTGTAGATCAAATGAAAGTTGCCATGTAAGAGATTAAAAGTGAGAACAAGAAATTGCTTACCGCCAAATGTCGCTTCACAGAGTGAATGTCTTATTCTTGCCGCGCCGGCACCGAATGGCATTGGACTTAGTGAGCGGAAACGTGAGGCTGAAAAAACTCAATTGTAGCTGTTTATGAGACTTTTGAGGGAATTTTCATTTTCACAAAAAAGTGCATCTTGACTAGGCTAATCAGGCTTGTTTTCAGAGCGCTCCAGCAATCTCTCCTATCTCGAAATCAATCAACAGAATGGCAGGAAAACATGGCAGTATTATGAGCAAGTAAAAATTTGCATTACTGGGAAGGGAGATCTAGAGAGAAAGACATTTAGAATTCAAGAATGTCCCATTTATTGCCACCATTGGAGCACATTAATTCAGCGCACGCAATTTTTATGCGACTCGCTTCAAGAGAAGAATCTAAAAATATCCTGAATCACTTAAGATTTTTCCCGTGCTTTACAATGTTTTAATTGCAAACAACACAATTGTTTTTGATTTCAAAGATGTACTCTATCATTTTTCACTTTCATTTTTTTGCCAAGTCCAACTTAATGCCTAAAACTTGTAAAACATTTTAGTCTTGCTTTATTGTACGGTAATCCCGAGTGGGCGGAGTTGGCGGGATCGCCCACGTGCAGCGATTTGCTGATGAAGCCAAAGAGCCCATCGATAAAAAAAAAGACAGTCGCTTACTCCGCCCATACAGCGTGTCACGTTTGCACTAAACCCTCAATCATTCCTGTACATTGAAGCACAGCGTGACTCAGCTCATATTTTTCCGTGGAGAACGCAACGCTCATATTGATAAAGTTCCCAGACACTTTTATGACAATAAAAATTAACTTACAGCTATTATTCTGCTCTACAGCAGAACCGACCATGGCCGAATGCCGACGCTGTGCGACAGAAGCAGGAGGGGGAAAAGGCTGCAATAAGTTTTTGTAAAAGCTGTATTTTGAGAAAAAAATGTCACCCTAACCTGTCTTTCAAGCTTTTTGATTGTTGAGTTACCATTAGGGATCTTTTGTGATTTATGATTATTCTTCGGTAGAGGAGGTAGATCTGCAATGCGTACCGGCTTCGCCGCCTCCCCAGTTGGTTGACTCCCGTTTAGAAGCGGTTTCGCTTCTTTAGGTTTAGTTTCCTTGTCGTCCACTTTTGAAGGTGATGTTTCAGGCAAAATTTCTTGCTTTAGCACAACAGATTCTTCGATATTCGTGTTCTTTACGGGCTTCTCTACGTTCTTCTCTTGGTCTTCGCTCTTCTTGATTTCCATAGGTTTTTCAGCAGCTTTCTCATCTTGCATTCCTTCAATCCGTTCTTCCATATCTCTTCTCACAATAAGTGCCACTGGAAAATGATAGAGTTGAATATGAGAAGCTTTTCTTAGAGTTTACAAAATTAGCTTCGGAGACTTTTCAATCAGGGATATTAGACTAGGCGGCCAGTCTGCCACCTCAAACTTGACTGCAACTGTTTTCGCGATATGTTAATCAACTGCAAAAACATCTAGAGCAAACATTCTTAGTGCTATCAGATGTCTAAAGGCATCAGGCTACCATTTGAAAAAGGGAAATTTTTAAAAAATTTTTCGCATGTCAAACCGATAAGCAGACACATTTTGCTTATAATTGAAATTGAAACAGTTTCATGATTACTGATTAGTCTTGAAAATTTTTTTCGAAGGCATGAATGAAGCTACTTTCCCCCTGAAGGTCAGAATTGGAAGTTTAACGGAAATCTAGTTTTTTTTAACAAAAAGTTTTGGAGAGCTGAAGACGTGCTCTTCAATTGCAAGGCTTTATGTCGCCCCCTACCTTACCCAACTCGGATTATTATAACTACTAATATAGTCAAAAGAGATGTATGTACCACAGAATCCGCTTACATAGGATATCCGTACGGATAACAAACCACACTGAAGGCTAGGGTTAACTCAATTTGGAGCAAGAAAAAATAACATGTTTTCTAGCACTTCCACGCCATTGCAAGGTACGAAAGGTAGCTTCAGTTTCTCTAGTCTTTTTCAATGGAGCCCGCCTTACACCGTTTTTAGATATACAAATCCACAGCGAAAAGCATGGGTCATGCGTAGGGTCTCAGCAGGATTTGCTGTAAGACGACAAAATAGTAAAGTTTGCGGTGCATTTTCTGCCTGTTCCGGAGAGAATCACGTCTGCTTCCAACGTTTGATTCAACTAGCTTGGCGGCTGGAAGGCGGGCCCAATTAAGGCCGCTGGCGCCGCGACGCAGTCTGCGTCTCTCTCGCACGCGTGCTCTCTGATCATCACCTAGCCTTAATAGGTCACGAAGCCCCGCCTTCCAGCCGCCAAGTCAGTTGAATCAAAGAGTACTTTTTGTTTCAGCTCTAGCAGACCACCGCGTTAAGCACACGCGAAAGAATTCGTAGCGCGAGCGAGTTTACAATATTTTTTCTAAAAGGTCTTGGCAATTTCTCGGCTGAAACTGCCAGCGAAAGTTTGTAAAGCTCATACAATTACTGATAATGATATTTTTTACGAATTCCCCCTCAAATTGCAATGCTTCAACAATAACAAGTTCGATATACATGCTTAAGGGTTTCATTGTGATTCTGGTCATTTTATAAGGAAAATAAGCTTCGAAAATGCTAAAGTCACTCTGCAAATCCTACTGTAACCTTACAAGCTAGTGATCAGAAATGATCTACACTAGTTGGCAGTTTGCCATCAAAGAGACGCAGAGAATTACGAATTGAACGTCAAACACTACGCACCATTTAAACAATCTAATGAAGTGGTCACATGCACTCTCTCATGATTATACTTTGAAAAAGGCCAAGTAAAGAGTGCTGAGATGAAAACGACCGAAGTGAGTGCTGAAAATTGACAAAATTTGTCTCTAGCAGCTCAACGCCGCTTACATTGTAAACATCTACTGCCTCATTTAGAAACATAATCATAGATTTGTACTCTAGTACATGCATCATTTCTGGAAAGTACCAACTTTAGCGTATGCATGTCCGAGAACTCTTCCACTCCAATGGTAATCGACGGAAGAGTGAGTTCGCCCTAGTTTGAGACTGAGTTCGGTCATCCCACTCCGAAATTAATTTATTGTTAACCTACTACTTGCTGAAATATCCTAAGGTACCCGTTCTATTTCGCCGAAAAAAGCCCAAAAGCGCCCAAAAAAGCCCGAAAAGCCCGAAAAAGTCCAAAAAGCCCAAAAAGGCCGGAAAAAGCCCAAAAAACCGAAAAAAGCTCAAAAAACCGAAAGAAGCCCGAAAAGGCCCGAGCTGGGACGCAGAAAGAACTTTTGGTAGAATTCTGACATTATTTTGATGTGCAGATGACAGAAAATAAAGCAAAAGACTCGGTTGCGAAATCAACACACATGTCTTAGCGTCAAAACGGAAGGGGAGTTTCAATTCTTTCGGGCTTTTTTGGGCCTTCTTGGGCTTTTTTGGGCTTTTATGGCGAAGCATGACGGGTCCCCAACGAAAATTAAATGCGCACCATAGAGAAAAAATGCTGGTTTAGTCACTTTCGAAGAGCGCACGCAGAAATTTTACGATAAGCTGGTTCTTATATCAAAGGACATTTTCAAGAGATCCTTGCAAAAGTATACCATTGCTGCCAATTTATTGAAGTTGAACCATTAACAATGTTTTAAAAAAATATTAGCTCCAAAATTATAGTGGATTTTTATTGTCTGCCACTCTTTGGTCGTGGTAGAGGTTTTATGGTAGCAGAATTTAAAGAAAATACAATCTTCGACCTGTAGTGGAAAAAAAAGTATAGTGGAAAAAATTCAAATTAGTTTACGTGCTTAAACACAACCTGAAAGGCGATTTAAAACCAAATAAATGTATCCTAAATCCACATAATTGGTATCTGATTTTCATTACTCGGTAACCTAACAAGTAACCTTTGATTCGACTGGCTTGGCGGCTGGAAGGCGGGGCTTCGTGACCTAATTAAGGCTAGATAATGATGAGAGAGCAGCGCGCTACAGAGACGCAGACTGCGTCGCGGGCGCGAGCGGCCTAAATTAGGTCACAAAGCCCCGCCTTCCAGGCGCCAAGCCGGTTGCATCAAAGGCTGATTTTAGCGTTAACATCACATATATGGGGTTCTTGTTTTCTGGATATCATTCCCAAATCTAAAAATTTGAGTAAGCCTCTGTGCGCATAAGAAAGTTTACTTAATAACGTCGCATTGCCATCTCAGCTCCTATTTGACGAACATATTAACCTAGCAAGCTTATCTTATCGACCCCAAAAGATGTATCTAAGGTTGCGAATACTGAATTGATCATTGTGAAATTGCAAAGAAGTAGAACTTACGTTGTGGGATGTCAGCAATTGGGCGTGGCGACGCTCCAAAATCCGAGTCGTCGACATAGGGGATATCCGAAGTCGATTCGTCGCAACTAAATCTTATGTACTTTTCTAAGTAACTAAGTACGAGTGTTCCTCTCACGTCGCATTGCCATCTGAGCTCCTGTCAATTTCTTCGATTGTGATGGATGGCGACATCTCCAAGCTGTTGTCACTGGCCGCATCGGCTGCGATCATCGCTCGCGATTCCATAGTGATAGGCGGTCTTCTGCAGCACACAAGGTTCATGAACTGGCCGAATAAGGAAGAATTGTTCATTTAGAGCAGGGTAAGCCTATGTGGTTTCCAAAGGAAAAAAACGCCCAACTCGGAATGACTTATTTTTCTGTGCTAATCGAATAGATGATGTACGGCATTCTGGAACAACAAAGCTAAAATGAAATGGACAAGTTAATCTGGGGATTTATGTTTCTAATGTGAAAACTGATTAAAGGATGCTAACTAAGCCATGCCAAGGTGTCAACACATCTTTTGATCGCGGGCATTGAATGCTGCTTCTACGCCCACACCGTACCCTTTGGAACAAGTCAGTGCTGTCGTGTACGGTAGTGGGTGAGAATTCAGCAGAGAGTGTTTCGGCCATGAATAATTCATGAAAGCTTTCGCTAGGGCAACTTAGGCAATGCTTACCTGATTGTAAGATCTCTCAACTAGTACACGTAAATATAGTCTAGGTACCTAAAATTGCTTGACAACCGACTTTGGTTAAGGGGGAGAGGTTCGAGAAAAACGCAGGCGAGCTTTATATCCTTCCTTGGGCTCCCGGATGCGTTGAGTCCAGGGCTGTGCTTGAAAAGTCGAAAAAGTGCTTTTCATGGCGTTTTCCGGTCTTGGATAATGCTGAAGGGGATGGACGAGGCTGCCTGAGCCGATCAGCCAATTGCTGCCAAAATAGGTGGAGTTACAGCATCCCGCAGCCACTAGCTGTTTTTGGGGGATCCCTCGCCCAGCCCTCTCAGCAATCTCCAAGGCCGAAAAAAGCCAAAAAAACATTTTTTTTTTGAATTTTCAAGCACACGGAACTCAGCGGATCCAGAAGGGGATGTAGGAGCGAAAAGCTCGCACTTGCAACTTTCCCGAGCCCTGCCTTTGATGACAGACTTTGAAGAGAGCGGAAAAGTCGCACACTCGAGGCTGCTTGCAAATCCGATTGATCTTGGAGGAAGCCAATAAAAAGAAGCAATGATTAATCGCTTGTACACATGTGACTTGAACGTCAATCTAATCCTTGCTCTGCTCTATGAGAGTCGTTTTCCACACAAGTCAAAGAATTTCATGAATCTCAAAGGCAATCCAGTCAACTACAGCAATTAAACTAGTGCATTCAGTACTGCAAGAGCCAAAACTCATATAAAGGGAATTGTGAAGCAGCACATAGATTCTTCAGCAAATCTAGATAAGTACACACTATTGAGGTCGGCCAAGCTGGCTAAACCATATATTTGAGTAATAAAATGAAATGCCCGACGCAAATAACCTGTACTGGCCACTGAACGAGAACAAATGAGGGTACAGCAAAGTGGGCACACGCTACTGGTCATAAAGAACACGAACTTTTCCGTACATAATTTAGGCTGCTGATTCCACTAAGCATCTGGCAAGGGAGTCATAACTGCATTGAGGTGGCTAGGTTGATGTCTGAGCCAAATTATGGCTCCACCTCCTTTAATTGAAAAGACATTGTTGGCAAATGGGAAAAAAAAACTCTAAAGTGTGCCAGCCCCAGAATGTCAAAATATTTATAAAAAAGGAGCCTGAAGGATCAACGAGCATCCAACCGCTTTCATAAGATTTACATTAGACGTTACCTTGAACTAGCATTCAACACTCAAACAGATGTAAGTAAGGCGGGAGAGAGTGCGTCTTGAAAGCTGCTCAAAAGCCTCTGCGTAGTAGCGGTTGGAAATTTTTTTTTGGGGGGGGGGGGGAGTGGGAATCTATTAAATGAAGACGTGACGTTTCCACGCTTTCCAAAAATTACCAGATACTTTCCGCAATTTTTGCGGACCTACAGCCGCGACACACACACGTCCCAAAAAAAACAAGGCTTATTTTTATTTCTTAGATTGAGAACTGTTTTGGTTGTGGTGAAAACATAACTTGCGCAATTTGACTCATACGAGCTACATTTCGTCCTCCCCCTCCCCTCGGTCCGTCTTCCGTAAAATAGACCTAAAGATCCAACCAGTAGTCCTACTTAACGAAATAAGGCAAATTCAATTTCGATGAGCAAATATTGATTTTTAGATACTAAAAGAGCTATCTATTTAAAATTATCGCATCAGAACGGTCATTATGGCCCTATCAGGCCCGAACATACTTCACAAAATTCCAGTCCGCAATCCGGCAATTTGCCAGATGTCTTTAAATCGGAATTGGCAGATTGAAAAGCTTAGCGTGTCGTAGATTGTGATATGCCCTGTATTCTCTGTACAATCAAGATGCCCACACGATGTATAATAAAGCTGGAGCATTGCCAAATCGTGTAGTGACTAAAATCGCGTGAGATATGCCCGGGGACGTATTCGTATTCGTAGAGAATATGTGCGGCATCACACCTAACTACATCCAGCTTCCGCGGTAAATTCAAATTGAATAAAAACTGCAGAGAGAGAGAGAAGATTTCTGCATCATCTATATGAATATTAGGTCATTTCAAAGGTGATGTCGTTATTTTCAAATAAACGCCACTTTTCATAGAAGAAAAATTTTTGAGAGGTCTCGCATAGCACTAATGCAGCATTTCGTCCTCTTTCCACTAGAGAAAGAACGTTGCAGATAGGCCATGATCTCTCCAAAAATTACTAAAATCTGCGACCATTTTTTGAGAAGGTCGAGTTTCACAATCTTTCCTAAACTTTTATGTCAACCTTCAAAGAAGCCTAAGTAATAACATATTTCTAGAGCAGATGCAAAACAATTTTTCTCTCCTCTCCATAGCTCGTCATACTTTTTTGATAGTGTTTCAACTGATGTACCAATCTCCATATTTGGTCATCTAAGATCTCGTAGAACATCAAAGAGGAAGCAGCTCGAGTGCTATTCCATGCAGCTTTTTCACACTTTCTGACGGGAGTTTTTTGTTTCCGATTCTTAGAGCCTTCGGAGACAAAATCATCATAACTTTGCTTTCGAACGCGCCTGAGGCTGTACCCGAAAAATTCGTAATTTGATATTTGAATTCGACTATCATTTGCGTAAATTCAGCATTAATTCGTAGTACCGTCTTGGAAGTTTCAAATTTCGAAGATTTATTGATGCTTGATGTGATTGTGGCTGACGTAGGCCTGCCAAAGTTCAATGGTTTCAAAGAAAAAAATTTTTCAAAAAATTTTGGCGAGCTATGAATAAGAGAAAAAGTTGTACTGTATTCTACTAAGGTTTGCTCTATCGAGTCGTTACTTGCACTCCTTCGGCGAGTTGAGATGAAAGCTTAGGAAAATTACGAAACTTGATCATTTAAAAAGTATGGGTTGCGGATTTTGGTAATTCTTCGAGGGCTCATTGCCTGCGCTGTATAATTTTACAACTATTGGAAAGAGGATAAAATGCTGCATCGAACGATCCTCTTTTTTTCATGCTCATTTGTAGACGCGTTAATTGCTATAAGATGAATGCAACACTAGCGTTAGTTGCGATTATAAGACAAAGCTATGAACACGATGTGAAGACAGTCATGTGAATATTTCGGCTGGCCTTCACATTAATGCTGTTATTCGATCATTTCGAGCCTTTCCAAAACGCGTTTGAATTTCAAAAAGGCAAAAAGCCGTCATTCGAAGAAAGCCCATTTTGGCTGCTAAGAAAAGCGGAATAATTCACCCGAAAAACGTGCAAATGTCACGCACAGTCATTAAATATGCATCGAGCTAATTATACTCGAAAATGAACCGATGGCCTCAGAAACTGAACGAGAAGGAATGTGTGGAATAGGAAAGCAATGCGATAGCCTCTTTCTACGGAAACGATTATGTTGGACGTAGGCGGCATGATCGTCTATTTAAAAAGCTCAGAAGGAGAAAGCGCACTTCATAAATAACTGCATGAGAATGACTGAGCACTTCCTCTATGATTTATCCCGCATACATAAAGCATAAGTGAAGTACGGGTTTCACACCATAAATCAACCTACCGTAATTTTGACAAAAAGCACGGTGAATAAGCATTTTTACAGCTCTCTAATTGCAGCTTATCAATGACGAGTCAGACAATCACGAAAGAGTGTGGAGACTGTGGAGAGCATGCGCGCTTGTTTTCCACAGTCTTCAGCGATGAATGTGCGTCCATTCTAATACTATAAATGGAAATTCCATTCATTCGCTATCTTCTACTCTTGCTACCTCAAATTTATTTTCAGAGCCTCTCTAACTGGTATCTTTGAAGTCTGCTAATTTCATTGAATAAAAAATTTTGACAAATTACTTTCGCCTATGCGACGATCCCGAAGCATAAAGGCAAATGTTCCATGTTATTTATTGTGGCAGTTGAGTGCTAGAGGCTGGTGGCTGCAATGTCTCGTTATCCATTCGCATAACCATTACCATTTAGATAATTTGTGTACGAAAAATGTGCTCCGCTGCCAAATTTAGGGTCCCAAATTTTCGACGTATAAACGGAGAGCGTCGGTCAAATACAGACAAATTCAGAACCAATTAGCTTTGTCTTGCATAATATGACGGCTTTCGAAAAACTTATCAAACTACATACTACAATACCACCCGTAATTTGCGAAAAAAAATGGCGGCGGCACTTAACTTACGCGGCGCCGCCGAAGTTAGGTGACTTTTGCCGCGTCGCGCGACAAAAGTCGGCGGAAAAGCGGCAAAAGTCACCTAACTTTGTCGCGCAACGCCTAACTTTTTATAAAAAAAGACCTTATCTTGATTCAAAATTTATGAATTCTATATATAAGAGTACCATTCAACTCAGCTCGGCGAGGCGCATCTTCCAATATACGGATGTGCCTAGTTGTGGGATATAAGTTTCTTTCCTGGAATTTTAGTGTAAATGGACCATTCAGTGTGCTTATTCCAGAGGCTACGTACACATTCTATTGAGCACAGCAGAAATAGGGCAGGTATAGTTTAAGAGCTCATTCTGTATGGATATATGTGAAACTGGGCAGCTCATTCTGCATGGATATGTGTGAAAGTGGGCTTCTCTCGGCGAAGTATGACGGGTCCCAAAATGCAGGAAGAAAAAGGGAAA